TTGGTTGGTTGGTTGGTTGGTTGGTTGGTTGGTTGGTTGGTTGGTTGGTTGGTTGATTGATGTTCAATAATCCACATCTAATGATTTGAGCATTTTGTTTGGAGAAAATAACTTTATTTTTATAAGTTTTGTATGATTTATTTTTCTAAAGATGATTTTTGGTTTATTGAATTTAGTCTGGGTAAGCTGACAGTTTCTGACAGGGGTTTGTGTGGGTAACAGAGGAGAATCAGCAGAGAGGTGTGTAGGACTAAAGTTCTGCTTCCTGGACTCGACTCCTTTTCAACTCTAAACTGAAGAAACCCCCTTTTTTACTGATGATACTGATGTTATTAGGTTAAAATGGGAAACTTTAAAGTGATTMTATTTTGTGTGTGTGCATGTAGGTCATCGTTCAGAGGTCACTGTCAGCCAAATCTTTGTCTCATGCCAAAGGAGGAAGTGTTTTTGGAGGCTATCTCAAACTGTTGCCAATGTTCTTCATCGTGATGCCAGGCATGATAAGTCGAGCTCTATTCCCAGGTAAATCTGTTAGTTACTGCATCTTTTKTTCTTTTTAAAGGAATTGTTTGGCTATTTGTCAAGGGTTGTTCTATCCAATAATTATCATCAGTAATTAATATCTTATTCGCTGTGACAACAGTCTGAAGCACAGTKTGCAGAAAGAGGCAAAAGTCTTRGTTCTTATTAGGCTAATGACTAACCTGATGAGGACCTGATTTAAAAAATAAATTTCAGGCTTAAGTGTAAAACAACTCATTTGCAAAAACGACATACCAGAGTGAGAGAACAATACATTAAAGTTTTCACCAGACTCTCCGGTTCTTTCTGTGTTTAATGTTTTCATCGGATTCTCTGGTCGGACTGTCTAGTTGTTTCCTGACACTTTTCATTTAATCTGACAATGTTTTCTCAATAGAAAAATGTTCATGTTAACCTTCAGCTGATGTTCAATTGAGAACACAGTGACAAACTAATTGTCATGCAAAACTGTGTATAGCTTTGAATTAGAGACCTCTTTGCACTACTTAAACCACTGTCTGGCTCTGAGTGGTCAAAGGAAAATAATTCTTGGGGACCCCTTTATGGATCCAGAGAAGCTCAGAACACTGAGTGTTTCTTACCTGGTGTCCTTCATCGGAGGGACGAGAAGGTTCGAATAAAGACCAGTGTCTTTTTGGGGAGAGCAATGGGCCCACTTAAGAGGCTTCCGCTCATATGGATTTTATATCCATCCCCACTAAAGAAGAAGAAGAAGTATAGAGCTTTAATATGAGCTTCATTACAGGACGACACCGGTGTGTGTGGCAGGCTAACCTAATGTTGTCCTTGTGGCTCTGCTCAACTCATTTATGATGTCCCATTTTGAGTTTTCTACAATAAGTTGTAGAACTTTAGACGAGTTTTTCTTTGTTGAGAAAAACATGGCTGTACTGAACTCTAGATCACTGGCCAACAAGACTTAGCCATAATTCTTTTTTTTAACACTTTCAAGTTGTATTGTTTTTGTTCTTATCAGAAAATTGGCTTCAAAGCCAACAATGAATCTGCCTGTTTTTCTGAGCTTGTTTTTTTTGTTTTTTAGCTCTACTGGTATAAGTGGAGCAGACACTTACAAATACCAAAGATGAACCCCTTGTTTGTTCTTGCAGATGTTGTTGGTTGTGTGGATCCGGCCCGGTGTCAGAGTATTTGTGGAGCATCAGTGGGATGCTCAAACATCGCTTATCCTAAACTGGTGGTAGAACTAATGCCTGTGGGTGAGTGACAGGAAAACACAGACGTCCAATCATTACATCCAAAACATTTCGTTAAAAAAAAGCTTCAACTAGACCAGTCTGTGCTGTTAGCAGTGCAGTATTTGTAAACATTACTTATTAAAACTGGCATTTGCAATGTTGAGGTGGGTTTTTTTTACCCATTCATCTGTCCCTCACTTCCCCAGGTTGGTTTGTAGAAAGGACCGAGTAGGAGACAATACGTTAAGTTTAAAGATGTATTTTACCAAAAGCAGAGAGAAAATCACCAAGTCATTACAAAGATAAAACCAAATGCATTTGGAGGACAATCTAATTTAGTTGTGAGAAAGAACACATCACGTCAAAGTATCGAGCCAAGACTCCGAGATTGTTCGAAAATATTTCTTTGTTCTTTATCTTTTAAAGCCCTGAAGCTGCCTTATCTGCGTGATACTGGGTGCGCAATAGACACTTCCCTAAGTTTCACTTTACTTAGGTTTCACTCTTGAGCTAAGGAGGTATCCACCTCCTGCAAACTATACAGCCAGGCAATCTAATGCTCAAAGGCATTAAAGGTCTATCACACATCAAAGCACATAATACCTCTAATTACRCCTCTCATTCCCACGAAATGCCTGATATGGCTCAAAACATTCTATATTATTTTATTTACAAGTTGCACCCTTAAAACATGATAAAACACATCTTTATTCTTGTGATTAAATGATGAATGAACTTATGCTAAATAGAATGCTAAATAAAATACGGAGCCCGCAAGGGGACATGGGAGGATTTTTTTCTTTTGCGTTCCCACGCAATACCTTTGCATTACCTCACAATACTTTTGTGTAACCTCACAATACCTTTGCGTTACCTCACAAAACTTTGTTTTGAATATGAACTGAATTAAATCAGACTTTTATTTTGAAATATCCGATTACCAAAACAGGATGTGTCGCCACAGTTCTTGAAATTGACATTGATGTTGCATGGCTGCACTTTCTTAAAATATCGGCATATGACATACTTCCATGCGTGGRTGTGTGATATATTCATTCTGAAGCTGAATTAAAGCAGTAGGCTAACTCGCTAATGGTGAACATGTGAGTTTTTAGTTTAACCGGAAGGCACAACAGTGATAAACAACTTTTGCGAGGGAACGCAAAAGGTATTGCAAGGTAACGCAATACTATTGCGTGGGAACGCAAAAGAAAAAAATCTCCCATGCCCCGTCACGGGCTCCGTAATAAAATGCTTAAAATGCTGAATTAATAATAAAAAAGCTTGTATTTTATGATTAACCAGGAACCTGCTGTAAAACAGCAATTATGCTGAGTCAGGCTTGATTTTTGGTAATCTTTTCCTGTTAAATCAATAAATCAAARCAAATCAATTAATCCTGCTAGGCTAAATGCATATTTTCCACTTCGATAGCAACCAGGGTGTTTGTATTGCTGCTAGAAAATTCTTGATTCAAAGATGAAAACAAAACTAGAGTAGAATTAGAGATATTTAATTGTTTTGTTGATCTCTCAAAGTTCTCCTGTCATCTATCAATTATCCTGGCCCTTGCCTTCCTAAGCAGTTCCGCTCAATTCTAGTTTCACTTCACTGCTCCATCTGTGATTTCACTTAATTTAATTTAATTTTTTATTTAATTCATTTATTAATTTCATATAAAAAAAACTTTTATACACAATAAAGAAAAAAAAGCACACTTGAAATGAAAGGAGGCAGAAAGAAGAAAAAATCTTATAATATCTGACCCTTTTTTCCAAAATCAATTTTTTAACCACTTCAGTAGAAAGCAGTAAATATCTGAACATTAGTATCTTAGCTTCTTCATCATCAGTGGATTTTTTGTTTGTTTGTTGTTTTTTATTATTTAGACAAGAAAGAAGACGAAAGAAAGGAAAAAAGAAGGAAAGGAAAGGAAAGTTACAACATAATGGAAAAAAGTGAAAGAAAGAATTGATGATGTGTGAGATATACATCAAGAAAACAATACAATCCATCCAACATCTGTCTGCAGACCTGCAAAGAATTAAGGTTACAAAACTTAGCAAAAGCATACATATATTCATTCAGACAGATAAACAAACACCCAGGTACAGTATATGTACTGTAAATGATCACCAGGTACAGTGTATATACTGTACCTGGTGATCATTCAGAAGCCCTCGGATCTGAACACCTAAATTAATTTCAAACAATAATAATCAAAACACAAAACAAAAATAAAAACTTCAATTCCTTTTCAAACAACAACTTTTGATATACATTATACAGTTTCATATTTCTTTAACAAACTTATTTCAATCATTCTCTTAAACAAACACATTGAACCAACATCTTTATAATCATTTTCCAGATTATTCCATAATCTTATTCCTTGAACTGAAGTGCATCGATCCTTCAAGTTTGTTCAAATTTTAGGTTTTATAAACATCTCAAGMCCCTTAAGATTATATAAACTTTCTCTCTTCACAAAATATAACTGAATGTTTAAAGGTAAACATAGACATAGGCAAGGATTTCTTCTGGAGAATTTTCACCCGGGCCAATCAGAGAACAGAACATCAATTTTCTGCGCAGTGTCTGCTTGTAGTTTATTTTACCTGGGCCAATCAGCAAACAGAAAGAGGAGTTTTGAATGACGTCGATTTTCTGCACAGTGTCTGCTAGTT